AAAGCCGTGATCATGACCGACACGTTCCAAGCAGTTGTCTTGGTCGCCTCCATCCTTCTGGTTCTGTACTTCGGCGAGAGGTACGTCGGCGGTACCGGCGTCATTTGGTCCGACAGTTACAGAACGAATCGCTTGGAGATCTTCAAGTAAGTACAACCCTCGCGTTTACCCCTCTGTAATTCCGTCCTTGCAGTATGAATCCGAGCCCAACGATCAGGCACAGCTTTTGGTCGGTAGTGATCGGCGGCACTTTTTACTGGCTCACGATGTTCAGCTCTAATCAGGCGTCAATTCAAAAGTATCTCACGGTGGAAACGATTTCTCAAGCTCGAAAGTGAGTAGTACCGAGATTTAACAATCGCAATTTAACCCGATTGGGTTTAGGGCGATTTGGGTGTCGTCGATCGGACTGATCCTAATCTACACGATTAACTTCTATACGGGAATGGTGCTGGTCTCCCACTATCGCTCCTGTGACCCGCTGAAATCGCACCAGATTTCGTCACCCGACGAAATTCTGCCTTTCTACGTTTTGTCGCAGCTGGGTCACATGCGAGGGGTTACGGGACTTTTCGTCGCGGGTATTTTCGCCGCCAGTTTAGGGTAGGTTTGAAAAAAAGGGGCGGTTGTCTTCTGATTCCTATGTTTAGGACAGTGGCGTCGGCGTTAAACAGCTTGGCCGCCGTCACCTGCAAGGATTTCATTTCTGGGGCGTTCAGAATCGAAATGGCCGAATCTAAGGGCGCGCTGTGGGGCAAGTGCATCTCCATCGCTTACGGAATTATAAGTTTCGGACTTGTAAGCACTTTTCAAAAAGACGGACGTTAACAGGCCGAGTTTTAGGTGTTTATAGTCGAGCAATTGGGAAGCGTAATGCAGATCGCCTTGAGTTTCAATGGAATGGTTGGAGGAGTGACTCTTGGTCTCTTCTCCGCGGGCATGTTCTTCCCGTGGACGAACTCGAAAGGTGCGGTTACCGGGGCCACTGTCGCCCTAGCCGTTGTTCTTTGGATGGGCATTGGTCAGCAAGTGGCCGTTGCCAATGGCAGTTACGTGGTGCAGCAGAAACCCGTAAGCGTCGAAGGTTGTCGTTGCCTGAACCACACGGAGATCGCCGCAGAAGCCGTTGGCCAAAAGTAAGATCAACTGACCTGGCAAACTTGCGTAATTCGCTAACGTTTCAGTTCACTATTCTTCTTGTACCGAATTTCGTACCTGTGGTATTCCGCAATCGGCTTCCTTATAACGGTCGTAGTGGCATTTATTGTTTCCATCGTTACCGGCGTCCAAGATCCCTTCGGCATTGATCCGGATTTAATGTCGCCTCCATTCGCCTACTTTTACGAAACGCTGCCAAGGGATTGGCAGGAATTCCTTAGGCTTCCCCGAATTGCAGAAGTCGAAAAGGCGATCGACTTGAAAGGGATTGTTAACCATGGTCTGAGTATGAGCGACGATAAAGTGGAAAGTGACTGTAAGAAGACTGATAGCAAAACGGGTCCTACAAATTCGGTTATCGAAAAGTAACTAAAAATCAGTATTAATAAACTCGTTATTTAAACAAATTTTCGTTGTTATTGTACATATATTACATAATATACACAAATTGTGATATAATTTATGTTTCATCCACCAATCCATCGTTTTTTAGAAATCCGAAAATAAATTTGGGAGGGGCCTAGTGTACGCCACCCCCCCCCCCGTACGTCTTTTGTCGCTGTAATCTAGGCCCCCTGGATACATTTTGTTATGCGCTTATTTGCGCCACTTGAATTAAAGTTAGCGCCATCACGGTTAAACCATGACAAATTTCCAAAAAGTGGGGGGGGGGGGGCAACAACGTTTTTAAAAGTTACTTTTTTCTATCATCTTTCCATACGAAATTGTATTTTTTGATATGCGCTAAAATGCGCCGTAAGAGATCTTTGGGCCATTCTTATTTTTTAGAAACCTTTTATAGCGCACTGTATGGATGTAAGGATGTCTATCATAGGAATCTCGAAAACAATAAAAGATACGACGATGGTTAAGTTAGCGAAAAGAATGAAAGAGTTATTATCACGCTTTCGTTTTTATTTTTTGATGTTTTGTGAACAGAAAAAAAAAAGTTTTAATAATAAAGATCAGATCTTTAAATATAAAATTATTCAAAGATGAAGTACAATGACGAATACGAATATATTAATTTTTCGGAACCGTGTATTTTTTGTGAAATCATCGCCAATTAGATTTTATACACGCACTCGCGGTTAATGCAAGCTTCGCTCCGTATGTTAAGTAGCGATATACGGCAAACAAAAAAACAAAAGTTGGAAACCGTTGGTTTCAACAGGATGGTGCACCCTCGCACAACGCATATAATCGTGTGAGACATTCGGAGACATTTTCAATTTTCCGGAAAATTTGTCAGATATGTATTTTCGCACGAGTACTCACGCTTTGTGCGCGTGTGCACCATCCTGTTGAAACGAACAGTTTCCAACTGCTGGTTTTTGTGTGCCGTATATTGTTGTATTCGTGATAAAAATGCTACTCAATACAGTAGGTATGTACTTTTTTTATGGGCTACATAAAAAATAAAGTTGATGATTTCTTCAAAACTTATCTGTTCAAATAACATAACAAAAAAAATAAAAACAAAATCAGCATATTTACGTTATTGTCATTGCAAGTAATCGGAATTTTCTGGTTTTCTTTAAAGCATAATAGCTCTTTAATTGGGCATCCTTTCTCATTCTCTGATGTGACCATCGGCGTATCTTCTATGGTTTCGGAGATCCGCATACTTATCTTGGACACAGTGTATACTGTAACGGGATCCTAAAAGGATATCACATTTCTGTTTACGGCGCATTTGAGCGCACGATGAAAGTTGCGTAGTGTAAAAAAAACATGCAGCTCTTGTTTGATTCGTGGGGCGGGAATTAAACAAACGAATTAACGATTAAAGATGGCGGTCTGCGTTAGTAAAAAATCATTTTGTAGGCGTTCTTTAATTAATAAGAAAGGAGAGGATTAGTTTTAAAGGATTCATGGTTAAGCACGCAACGAGATCAGTGCGTGCGAATTAAAATTAATCATATTGGCATTTGGTCATCAGTGCGACCAGTCAATTCAAAATTTTGATTACTCCCCTCTGAACTCCGGAAAGTTTCAACCGCACATTTGAAAATAAAATATTAACTACGGTCGGGAACTACCAAGAAATAACCACTTGAATTATGAACCAATTTCAAACGAATTCTTTATTCTCTATCACATGTCAACACTTGAGCGAAAAAGAGATGGTCATTGTAGCAATTTGAAATAGTTGGAAATTGGTTCACGAATTGGTAACGCACGCCTCACATTTTGTGAAATCAACTGTATATCTAGAAGGGGATTCTTCAGTCGAATCTTGTTTGCCAGAAGATTTCTCGGGTAATTTTTTTTATTGCGCCCAATTACAGAGTGACCCGCATAATGCTTTCTAGAGGCGACTCTTCAGAAGGTCATAAGTTGTTCTATACTACTCCGGTATTTATCTCAAGAATTAGGAAAACTGCACGAAAACCTAATTTGGAGTAGCCGGCAGAATGCTCGAAACTGGTCTAAGGTAATTCCCATCTCTGGCACAGATGAAAAATTCACCTCAACCCAGGTTCGAACACCCGACCTCCGGATTTCTAGCCCAACGCTCTACCACCGAACCATAACGCCACAGTAATACTGGAGCTGGTGGAACATTAAAAACAAGATCAGATGGTGTGTCTGAGGTGCAAAATGGTGAACACATTCATTTAGCTATTAAAGGGCATGCTTTTCTTGTGGCTAAGGAACTACAACGAGATGGTCTAGTCGATGACTATGGGGATGTGCTAAAGAGCAGCGACGGACCTATGGGGAGGGGGGGGGCAAGGGGGGGCTGGCTGCCCCTCCAATACTTAACTAGTTGGCAATTTTGACAAGAGTTGGTAATTTTCATTACCAGTTGGCGAATGCCGCGAAAGTAGGTAAATCGTAAATGTAATAAATCGACTATTGAAGGAATGAGGAATTGCGGCAAAATCTATAAAAAAAGGACTCTTTAATAGGAAAGTCACTTCCTTCTTCTTCAACACAAGGTTGGTATTTTGGTAATGCTTGTAATTAGTATTAGAGACCGTATACTGATATCCTACATTTTCTACATGATTTATTAGACTTTGAAATACCACTTAATAGATACTACTCCGTTTGAGTTGGAAATTTTTACAATTGAGTTGGCAAAATGTCATGTCTGCCCCCCCCCCCCCAATTTTTTTGTCTAGGTCGGTCCTGCTAAAGAGTGCGAACAAATTGGTATTATTCAAGGGGGTGACAGAGAGACGCAATAAATAATAAATATGTGTTTTGCCTGCCACATCGACCGATAATAAAAGATAGTACAACTACTAAAATTCGCTGTGTTTGATGCCTCATCGCAATAAAAAGGACTGCCTGGAAAGGGGTTCAAATTTGATAGAGCAAATTCCTTCTCTTTTGTTGGAATTTAGAATGAATCCTATACGTGTTGTTAGTGATATTACGAAAGCATTTTTACAAATCAATTTACAGCCAAGTGACACACATTTTTTTTGGTACAATCCGAATGGTACTGAATCAGAATGTAACCTTTTCAAAAGTTTTTACGCCTACTTGATTTTTTCAGAGCCACTTTTGATATTGCATTTAGGTGGCCATGATCGACCCAAACTAATCTAAGGTAGTATTTTCAAATGGCAACCCTTTTTTGACAACCACTTTCCGAAAAAAGGATTTTTGACAAATCTAACGATGCTAATTTATTTGCGATTGGATTAAAAATACGGACATTAGTCAAATATTACTAAGCAAAATACCGGATAATAATTTATTTACTTTTGTCAAGTGTGCCATGGATAGCCACGATGCATAATACCTATCTTGCACTTGTTTTCATTAAGTCTTCCTTGGAAACCAAAACACTCATTTTGGTGGTCTTTTATTTCAATGCATTTTGGTAATTAATAGGCCGTTATAAATTATAAACAATTGAATTTATAAAAAATTTACACCAAATAAAATAAAACAAAAACTTAAAAGATGAAAATAAAAAGTTTAGATAAAAATAAGAGAAAAATAATTATTTCAATAAATGTTCAAGACCACACTTCCCAGGAAATTGTTGATTCAGCCATTTCTTTAACGTTTATAGCAAAATGAGGTAGGACACCATCATGCTGAAACCACATTTCTTCTACGATGTGCACCAGAAAATTTTGAGGAAGAGCAAAAAAAATTATCAAAGTCCTCGTGTGAGATCGAAGGGACTTCAGCGCATTTTTGTGTGGCAGATCAGTGTTTTATTAGCCAATATTGACTCCACCATCAATAAGATCTTGCCGAAAGCTACCACGTTCACTTTGTCGGTACCATTTTCTCACTTACCGTGCACTCCCAATTCGCGTTTGAAGTTTTGACTCCACCATCAGTAAGATCTCGTCGGGGGTTACCACATTCCCTTTGTCGATACACAGTTCCGACGTCCCGTTCATTCGTAATTCCCATTTTGGTAGATTTCGCTAAAATCCCGGCATAAAATCGTATTCAACTTTTGGGTACTTCACATAGCTCGACCTTCTATTAGTGACACGAGAAAGAGAGACCGCGATTCGCGCTGTAAGAAACTTTTGGGCGCCCAAAGTCGACTACCCCTCGAAGCGCGCCGCGCAAAAGGTGGTTTATTTCGCCCCTAGGAAAAAAAAACAAAATTCCGCCACGCAGGAGTTGTGCGCGTTGACAAGATCATCCCGACGACACCAATTTGAAAACAATCGGAGAAAAACTGTAGAAGAAGATAGATAAAAACTGAAAAATCTCCAGGTTAGTATAATACGCTCGGGGATGGCGTCCAGATGTCGTCGACTCCAGATCTTGTAGCCCCATCCCTAACGTTCTTAATTACACGGCCCCGATAGTTACATGTACACTCCTTGTCTTTTTACAAGCGTTTTTCTACGGGCGCGCATTTACTGCCAGCCAGCCAGCCAGCCAGCCAAAGTGAGATTAAAAGCTACTTTTTACAAAAAAAAATTTTTGCAAAAATGCGCTAAAAAGAGTACTTACCTAAAAATTTAAGTTAAAGTAAAGAGCACCATTTAAAATATGTTATTCAAATTCCACTTTTCTAACACAACAAACAACAACAGAATTGTAAATGCTAATAAACTAAACTTCATTTTATTTTGTGTTAATATTTTATAATATCGCTTTCGTGGCTTACTATCCAAATTGATTTATTTCTAAGTTCAAGCATTGGTCTAAATGCAAATTCATTATTTTCTCTTTTAAAATTGGCTACGGCAAACAAGATTTTTTGTTTTGTTTTGTTGGGGGTGAATGTTTTATCATTTGAATTGGTGTTCTTAATGTTTAACGGCCTACTGATTACTGAGAGGCTTTGGAAATCGAAAAACACTGTGAATTATTAGAAATTGTTGAATTACAAAAAATAGGTAAGAGATACATACCGTTAGAAAGGTAATAAAATTTTACATTTCATGCAATAAAAAAACTTCGTAGTTCCATTTAAAAAAATCAAGTTATCTCTGATTGAAATTTTGAATGATTTCTTTTAA